TGAACTCGGCTCCAAAGCAAATGTAGGCCAGCGGGGCAAGACTAAGGCTCAACCAGAGTTCTTTCTTAACCTCAGTGGGTATTGGAAACATGGCAGTCCCCGAAGGATCCTGGCGCCCGAGCTCTACCAGAAATGACCAACATTCATTAAGGTTGGCCATCAGCGGACGGCGGAACTGAAAGAGGTACACCAACCCTCCCAAGGCAATTTGCAACTGCTCTAGGCTGGCGACAGTTTGACACAGCAAGAAGAAACTTGCCCTGAGGTACCTGACGAACTTTTCAGGCTTCGGGTAAGCTATATTCCTAACTCCATCTACCAGGGCACCTTGCACTTCAGCTGTCGATGCTCGGCTGACAGACTTCTTCTGGTTGGCTGGCACTTTCAACTTCTCGTACTCTCGTCTAAGAGCATCCGAAGAGGGGGCTCTGGATCCCTTCAAGACTTCTGCGGCTGACGAGTTAGTTTTCTCTAACAGGTCAAAATTGTCCAAGTAAACTCGGTATCCAACCTCAGACTGAGGGAAAGTCGAGTCACGCCTGAACTCACACTCGGCACCAGGTCCTACCTTGGACAGAGCTCGCTTGACTATCTCTCGGTGGATGTGTTGAGCTACTGCTACGCTATTGATGAACCCCATTGGCAGCACACGACTGGTAAGCACGTGGGGACGGCTGTCTCCCGGAGGCCTCAGCTGATCAGGAACCTCCTTACCGAAAGCCAAAAACGGGCGCCATTGAGGTCCTAGGCCAACTATGTAAAACATAGCCCTGATGTCCTCTGAACTTATCAAGAGGTCCTCATGCGGCCTTACCTCTAGCCCGCCTAGCGATGTCACCATTGGTAAGGTTCCCAAGTCACCCTCAACTGCTAGGAAATTACGGTTAATGGGGCGCAGATCCATAATTAACCGCAATACTTCGTGTCCGTCAGGGGTGGTCTCATGCTTAGGCACCCCAAAGAGTCCTCCCAGACAAGGAGATCCATGCACATGGAAAACATCCTCCACTGCAATAACCTCGCAGATTCCTCGTCTCACCAAGCCTAGAGACACTTCGTCCCAATCATCATCCTTGATCATAACGCGAGGGGTCTTCATGCTAACCCTCTCATCCAACGGCAACAAATACTTGGTGGGGTGTTCCAGAAAATCTAGTACTCCCACAGTGGCTACCATCTCCGGCGATAGCACTCCTGCCTGCTCTGCAGTCGGGAGGCTCGAACGTAGATTGGCCCAGCCCACCGACCTGCAATGGTGGATTTCTTCACCATATGCGTTCACGCTCTTGGAATTCGGGAATCATGCAATTGAACAAGTCCTCATTCCTAGAGAACACGGAGACGAATTCAGACAGCAGTTTCCTTTGTCCAGGTGATCCAGCCCCCATGGACGATTCTGGTGACCCCACGGTCATGACGTTCAGGGCATGCACACCGGCATGGCACCAAGAACCCCATTTCTGCTCCTGGCAGTCTGGGAGAGGGAGCGGGAACAAGTCCCGTCCCGTGATGGGTATGCTGGAGTGAACAGCATCCTTGATTTGTTGCAGCTTCTCCCAGGCCAGGAGTCGTGATCCCAAAACGCTTAACTCTCCAACTAAGAGCCCTCGGTTATTAGTCCTAGCACGGGGTGGCAAAGGAGGGATTCGAGGCTGCGGCGGTCTAGTACAATCATAAATTGGGCATGCACTGGTACACTTTACGGCAGGCTCTAGGAGGGGGCAACTACCTGAGTTTGAGCTGCTGGCTTGCCCCCCTCCCAACGCTTCCCCTTGTCCTTTCCCTCGCCCTTCTTTCCTTTTCCTTTGCCATCCCCCTTCCGGTCCCCTTTGGGGGGTTCCCAACGACTCATCCAACGATTCCCCCCCGCGCTTCCTCGCAGCTGGGTCTCCAGGCGCTCTGATGTCCGTTGTTCCTGGGCGGCATTGTGTCCCTCCCCTGCCGACCCCCTGAGCCATGAGTTCTAGGCTCTTCATCCGTTGCATGCAGATGTCCATTGCCCCTAACACATTCCCCTCTACCAAGCTGTCTAGGCAGGTTGCCAGCGTTTGGAACTCTCTCCTCATGGGTTTGCTCGGCATTGCCCCGCTCTGGACAACCTGTTGGCGGTAATACTTCATCATGACGGGTCGAACTTCGTCTCCCCCCGAGGAGAAACCTTCGGCTTGCCTCAGGAACTTGTTTGCCTCCGACATCCCATGTCTGGTGAGGAGGCCGGGGCACTTCTGGGATATGCGTCTCACTTGACTGGGCTCCTGGAACAATCCTCCGCTCTCGGCTGAGTCCTCTGATGAGGAGCTGTTGCTTCCCCTGCTGGAACTCCCTCCATGATCTCGTTTCACCCTGAGACGAGGCTTCTTGAACATGGGGTCTATGCTGCTGCCTCTCCAGTTCCATCTCGACCTCACTAGCATTTCTTTGATGCGTTCCTTTGTGCGTCTGTGAGGCCCTCCTGATCTCTTTCCCTTCTTCTTCTTCCTCTTCTTCTTCTTCTTCTTGACCCCACTGCTCTCCCCACTGCTCACCGAACCCCCGTCCCGGTCCTGCAAAGGATCTGGCTGGCCTGCTCCCAATCGAGGAGCGCTCGGCGGGGCCTGGGGCATCGGATTTTGGCTGAAACCCATGGCTTCGGCGGCTTGATGCAACTGACCTAGATCTCCCTCTCCAGGAGTCGGGCTGCTTCCTACCACTAGATTTCGGCACCAGGGCAACGCAGGATCTGGCTCTTTCATCAGAACGGGGTGGAAAAACTCCGGTCCCCGGGCTGGAACCTTCATCACTCCCTCTGGTATAAACAACTCTCCTGCTAGCCCGGCCCGGATTGCTCCATGCACGTACTCTTGGACGTGAAGATGAGGGCTCCCACATACCTGCAATTTAAGGTAGTTACCACTGGAATCCTCAAACCGTGCAGTGATCTCACCTACTACCTCCACAGGGTTGTTGCAATAAGTTCCCTTCAAATGCAACTGCGATCCAATCCAAATGGCACCTGAGTCAAAAGGAAGGAATGGATTCTCAATCTCAGCTTCCTTGGGGCTCTTGCCGCCCCGGCTTTTCTTAAGGATACCAGGCCTTTCAAGCTCCTTGTTAAGCTTTGGGCTCTTTTTGACGGGGAGTTTAGCAGCTGGCTTCCTTAACACGACCTTTGCAGCAGGGCGTCGCACTGGCATCCCACACTAAGCCTCTGGCGGGCTCCGGCGAGGTTCCCCTCGGAGTTCTACCTAATCCAAATCGCTCAGGACCTCAAGCGAGCGTCCTTTCCTGGCCCAGGCCTCAGCCTGCGACTCCCCTTCCAAGGGAACCGGCCTCCTGATGCCGGGAAGCACTTCCTCTGCCTCCTCCAACTCCAAGTCCCGCTCGATCTCCTCCTCCCCCCTGGGGCGGCGATCTCCCAAGAGGTCCAACGCACGGAACTCCTCCTCCTCACGCTCCTCCTGGGCGGCTGTGTCCTCCTTTACCTCCTCAACCTCACTGCTCCTAGGAGACCGAGATCTCTCCCTTGCACGCTCGTAGCCCGGGCCACCCTCGGCCCACCACCGCTCCTGACGACTGCGGTGCTTAACTCCTTTGCTCCTCTTGGGCCAAGCTCCTTCTCCTTTGCCCTTTGGGCTCTTGCCCTTAACCTTGCCTTTGCCCTTGCCCTTTTCCTTTCCACCCTCCCACCTCGGAGGGGGATAGGCGGGCTCCACAGGCCTCCTCTTCGCCTCGGCTGGGGCCAGGACCAGACGCTCAGCCTCTGGTCTTTCGGCACTCCTGTCCTCCCTTCTAGGAGGAACAGGTGGCGGCACACGAGCACTGGAGCTGCTCTTTGGGGTTGCAGTAGAGAGGATCTCTCTCTGCACCCGGGCCTCGTCTCTCTCTCTAAGAGACGGCCGCCACTCACTGCGGGTCGGCCTGATGACCTCCCTTCGAGGAGATCCTTCCCGAACCTCCCTACCAGGAGATCGGCTAGGCTCCCGTCGGCTGCTGGCTCCCTTCTGCTCAAGGAGCACCAGCACCTGGCTTTGAGCGCCCTGGAGAATCTCCAAAAGGGCACTCAAATCAGATGGCGCCGACAGCCGGGGGTCGAGGCAGAGACTCCTCAATGCCCCGAGCCCCCGGCAGACCCCGCAGTGCCTGGAAGCTCCCTGCGAGGAGACCCTCCACTGGTCGCAGCCCCGGCAAGCAATGCCGGGGCTGCAACTCCTGATCATCAGGTAGGAGGATTTCCCTCCTACCACAATCCTACTTCTGCCTAAGACGGAAGCACTACGAGCAAAAGGGAGGAGCGGCGCGGCGGATTCCTAAACTTCGAACCGTATGTCAAGAAAGCAGAACACTTCGCGCTGCCTCCTTCCAGCGGCCCCAATCTTCACCCGCATCACGAAACCGATCGTGGAAAATCACCCGCCGTAACAAGATGCGCCGTGCCTATGACTCTTCTGTGACTTGAAAAGGTGATTTCCTAGGATTGCCTTGGAATCACAGAAGCTGCTCCAAAGCCCTCTTTCCAAGAAGCCATGACCGAGAGCATGTGATGCTTAGCGCGGTTAGCACTCTTTTCAAGCTTCGCTAGCGTAACATCATAAGATCAATCTTCATCATAGACACGCTCGGTGAAAGCACATGACGCCTGTGTCCGACTACTTGAATGTGAATTTACAGCTGAGGGCGCCTAATGTTCATCGATCTTCTGGGACTCGCAAGCACCTGGAGCCAGAATCGCGTTCAATAGTCGAAGCCGGTGCTCAAATCGCCAAGCACTTTGGAAGACAGTATTCCCTATGGTCCGACAAAAAGGCGTCCTAGGGTCGGGCTTTAGCTGCTTCCCTTGTGTCTTGAAGACGCATCCAAACTCCTCCGCATCTGCTCTGGTCAATGCTTGGGCTGTGTGGGCATGGTTCTTTTGGTAAGGAGCTTTGTCAGAGCCAAAAACCAAACTTATCACAAGCGCCTCTCATGTGCCCTGCCGGAAGAGGGGTGGCTTCCGTTTGGTTTCCAAACAAGTCGCCGCATTTTGGTCGCTCGTCTGCGAAAGGCAAGCGCTCAGCGCCTCACTTGAAGACCTGGCCAGGAAATCAACCCTAGGGAGGGGGGTCCATGCTCCTTAGCGAGCCGTAGGGAGGCTTGGCAAGGCTGGCAATTTTAGCATATAATGTCATGTAAGCCGGAAGTAAATGGGAAACCAAATCAGCACACCTCCGCACCATCCAAGAAAGCCGGGAGCTGAGAATGGAGAATCCGGGTTCACATTCTGACTCCGGGGATGGGACGTCCGCTTGCTTCCTTCCCCATCCTCCCTCGACATAGGACAAAAGGGCTTGGGTTGCCACTTTCAAGCCAAAAATTGGGGGTCCCTGTGTCAAACTAGAGGGCCCTGTGCCAAAAAGGGCCCCCCAAAAACGGATTTCGGCTTTCCTCTTGGCTGCCCGTTGCATGAAGCAAGTGAGCAAAAACGCCAGGTTCCGGGCTCTGAAAGCCAAAATTCAAAGGCCAACTTTACTCCGCCTGGCTGCCCCTCGCTCAAAGAAACCCCGTCTAAACCAGTGGCACCCATCTACTTCTGCCCAAACTAAGCTGAAAAGGACACCAACACATAGTGCGTCTTGTCTGGCAACAGTGCTTCCAGTTACCACTCTAGTAGGGTAACCAGGTGAATTTACCTCTTGGTGCTACATGATGGTTTCCCCTGGTTACCTACTAACTGGAAGCACCGGGTGGCAAAAAAAACACAACTCGGCGGGCTGCCAAAGCTCCCTCCCTCGCTCGACGCCGACGCCTCGAGGCGGCCCCCGCAGTCCACCACCGTCATCATGCCCGGGCCCATGGCTGGCGAGGACTGGAAGGCGTCCCCCACCCGCCGCGCCTGCGATCGGGTCTCGGATCTCGGCTGTGAGGCTCGAGGCTCGCTTTGGCTTTGAGGCCGAAAAGCTTGGTGCCAGCTGGAATTTATTGAAACCCGTTCGGGGCCCCCTGAACCAGGAGCATCTCAGCCCCGATTGGTGCCAAAATGAGGGAGCCAAAACTATGCAGGGCATGTCTTCAAAGGACATACCCCGCGATTTCGGCACCTCCTGCGTCGCAAAAGGCCGGCAATTGAAGCCCGAAGTGGCTGTGACCCAGCTTCTTGCAGGCATTGTCACAGCATGGTGGCTTTCCGACTTCCCAATGAAAAGAAGAACAGGGAAGCGCCAAATTGGGATGCAGAGACCTTGCTGCTTTGTACGTTTCAAGGAAGCTAAAGCCATGGGAGTCGAGACCGACTCCGCTGATGAAAACGACATAGGGAGCCGCCAGAAGCCGAAGCTCGGATGGAGGGACTTGTTTTTTTCCTACCCCCCCCCCCTTTCCCCCGCCCCAAAAAGGATGACCTGCAGGTTTTGAGCTCCAAACAAAGGGCAAGTGAGAAAGTTGGTGGATTTGCATATGGCCCGGCAAAGGGGCCCCCAAATCGAAGTCATACCCTCTAGAAAACAGTTTGGATGCGCTGTTTGTGGATTTCACCCGGTCTTCCCCCTGTTGGTCCTGCTTTAGTGAGCTTTTAGTTCTCTTTTAATATCCTACATGGGTGGATCCACAGATTCGCCACATCCAAACCGGCTATTCACTAGGTTTTGCAGTAGTGCCCTTTTACCCTTTGTTTGGGGAGGGTTCCCCTACTAAAATAGACTACAGAAAAAAAGGGTACCCTTATTCTAACCTCTCTACTTAGATACCCGAGCTGGTTCTCAGAGAATCAGAAAGGGAATGAACCTTTAGCCATCTGGTCTCTCACTTTTGGAACATGGTCCCCTTACAGCCATTGGTCTTACTGGTATGAGAGATGCAGGGTCCCGCGGAATGACCCCAAGACTGGTGGTTTCCTTTGTTTTGGGGAACCCGTTCCGGTTCACTCCCACATTCCCTACCTATCGCACCAGCAAGAAAAAACGGAAGAAAATGCAAGAGATGGCACCTTCGCAGAGTGATATGGAACCCCAAAAACATAATTGGTTCTTTTCAGACAGTTTGAGGGAGTCCGTTTTTGATCTTCATGTCAGCGCGATGGCACTTGCTTCACCAATTCTTCAAGGCAAACATTAAGCGATTAAACGGTTGCCCAGTTCACCCCTGGCCCCATGCTCTCTGTGATGGAAGTCAAGTGCTTGCTAATCCCCAGTTCAGCTGCAGTTCACCTGCAATACAACCCCCCACCAACCCCAGTCTCAGTTCAGCCCCAGTTCAGCCCCTTGTAACTATGGTTGTCTGCCGTCGAATTAAACATCCCCCACAAAAGAATCAAATGTCCAATTGGGCCTTCCCGAAGGGTGCTGATTCTTCATGCTTCCCCCTTGGTGGAGGTGGTTCCCTTCTAAAACTCATAGGCTTGTACCATAGTCAAACGACGAAGCCACAAGGACCATCTGGGCACTGGAAGCGTTTGCAACGGCTCGCCTTGATCTCCTCGGGCGAGATTTGGCCGTCCCCGTTCCTTGGGCAAATCGACTCGACCCATTGACACCTCGATCCAAGCCGCAAGGCCGCAAGGCAAACCATCGATCATCAAGGAGACTCCCTTCAAATGGTTGCCATAAGATCGGCGGGGTCTCTGGGTCGGGCGGGTCGGGTTTGAGGGGTGACCTTTCAAACAAAGCCTAGCAATGCTTGTCGCCGTTTTGCCCCAAGCCCCGAAGCCAATGCGAAAAAGCAAAAGAGGTCTCAAGAACAAAAAACCGCCCAGTCGGACCCACTGGCTCCTGACCCATAAGTCGCAGGCCCCTGGTTTGCACACACAAATGGGCATATCAACCTCACGTGAAAACTGACTGGTCACGGGCCCCAAGTCTTCTCAACATGTTCCTCATTCCCTTTGGTGGGGTCTACGGTGATTGATGCCAAATGCACCTGCGGAACCAACATCTCGAAGAGTTGCTATTTCCCTCGAAGGTGCTGTCGATGGCTGAATACTGTGGATGGACAAAAAATCCACTTCCCACTGCTTGGTAGGTCTATCCCAGCCATGCCAACTGGTGCAGAACTGTGTTCCTCCAGGGCATTGCAGCAAGTAGGGAAGCAAGGGAGTGTGGTTGGATGTAGCTGGTTCGCTTGCAATATTATATGGTCGGCATCCACCACAGGATCCACGCATCCACCCCGCTGACAGGCGTCCAAACCCCTCTAGAACAAAACCAGATAGGTCAGCAGGTTGGCACCTGGAAACGTCGCCACCCAAAGCAAACGCATGTGAAAATGGCGCCTGAAAGGTGATTTTTTCTCACGCCAAGGGCAAGTCTAGCTCAGTGGACTCGAATTGAAGGACGAAAAACCATACAGGTCGGGTTTGTGGCCCAACAGAGCACCAACTCCAACTCCAACGCAAACCCGTCAGCTCAGGCGCTCATCTCGCACAGCGTAGATCGAGCCGTCCTGAAAGGGCACCTGCTGCAGAGTGCGTCTAGAACCTGTCGGCGTTTGGGTAAAAAAAACTCTCTGCTGACCCTTCGTGGGTGTGGCTTTTTGTAGGGGACCCCTCCAAAACTGTGGCTGTCCTTGTCCTTTGCCCCCGGGTAAGTCAAGAGGGCGTGGGCGGAAATGCTGGGGGGTCCCATTGTTACATTCCCAATTCCCAGGGTCAAGCCTCTTCAAGATGCATCTGTCTATTTTTTGGCGAGCTCACCCCATTCGGTGGTAAAAACGAATTAGGGGTCGCAACATTCACATGCGTGGCTACTGCAAATAGGCCAAGAATACCAGTCGTCGGTTCCTAGGGCCTAAGGTGAAATAGGGCCAGTCGCGGGAACCCACCGCGAATCGGTTCGCTTTGGGTTCCCGGCTACCTTTGGTTTGGCTTCCGATTTGGGTTTGTTTTAGAGGAACCAGTTCCCATAGCGTGTAGCCAGGATTCTTACCTCCAGGTTTTGCATGGGTTTTGGTTTGGCTGTAAATCGATTTCTCGGAGGAGGGCAAAACAACAACAGCAGACTGTTTTCTTTACAGGATCCTCCAGGCGCCCTTTGGGTTGTCATGTTTTGGGGCTACCGTTTTTTTTGTTTGGGGCTCATTGATTCCATTTTTCGTAGGTAGGAACCGGCCCCTAAAACCCAAAGGCCCCAAGGGAAAACGGCGAAGGGCTTTACCTCTTCGGTTGCTCCACGCCCCCCCGAGCAAAAGGAACCTGTTGCACCGCATGCGTTTCCCAAAGGTCTAAAACAGAAATCCTTACATTCTACACCTGAACATTGCAACTTGTAAATGGAGGTGTCCCTTTATTTTGGTGTTGAAAAAGCCATGTTTCAAATGGGCAAAATGTATCTTTGAGGAGCCCTGTAAAAGCCGATTCGGTCTCGGGGAAACGCCGGGGATCCGCCGGGGCTTTGGGCCCCTGGCGAAGGCTGTGCCAGCGGCATCGATGACGGGCTGCGCGTTGGCGTCCGGCATGCACATCTCAGCCAGCGCAAAAAGAACAAAAAAAAACAAACAAAAAACGCCCCCCCCAAAGGCAACCTGAGAGCAAAACACAACGGACACCCAAAAATCTACAGGACACTACCCATGGGTTCAATTCACAATTCCTTCGTCAAGCCTACATAAGATTTTGTCGGAGCCCCAGAAAAGGGGGGCAACTAGCAAAATATAAAGAGCTGTCCTTCCCAGTTTCCGGTGTGGTCCAGAAGATCTCTTCTCGCACAAAGGTGTGTTGCTTGCTTTCCATTTTCCGGGCGTCCATGGAAACCATAGAGCACCCTGCGACATTGGAGTGTGACCGTGGCAAAGCCCTCGCTTCGCTGGCAATCCCAAAGGTCTCATGGTGCCAAGGAAACATGTACGTGTCAATGGCAAAAAGAGGGCCTATGGCTATTGGGAGGACCCCTGCTTCCATGCCAAGAATGGGTAAAGGTGTTTCTCTTAGCCAGTCAATAAGGACAGGCCTGCAACCAATGTTTGAGGGGCCTGGTGTCATATGCCGTGCCTTGAAAGCCGGGCCGAAAACACGGAGAGGGGGGAATCCCCTCAACAGCTCCCCGAGTGCAGGGAAAAGAAGCACTTCAGCAGCAAACCCTCCCCCATGCTTTCCCTTCACAGGTTGCAATTTACCAGTGGCTTCCAAGGGAAATGGGGTGACCCTTGCAAAATCCAATTTTGGTGCGCAAGCCAAGATGGTAGGCAGTTTTCACGAACTCACAGGACGGAACTTTCCCAGCGCTGCGTTGCGACACAAACCCAGAGATAGCACCCTTGACCGGAATCCCAGCCCCTTCCCTCTGGGAGACTTGCCCTTTCACTTCCCTTTGGATAGGCGACTTTCCGCTTGATTTAAGTATCACCCCTGTCCCGCTGTTTCAAGCCTGGGAAAATCGACTGGGATGCCAGTTCAAGGGGTCAAGCCAGGAGCCACCCGGCTCGAGTGGAAGGCTGGCTGGAGCCAGGAATTCTATGGCAGAGGAAGGGCAACCTGAGCCTTTAGCCCCCCAACTAACCCGTTTCACCCAAAAGACAGCTTGGCTCCAGGTGACGGAGCCCATATGAGCCACAGGACCCAGTGCATTTGGGTGTGGTGAAGGAGAACCTACCGGAAAACCACCATGTTCGGGGCTTCCCGAACTAAAAAAAGACACCTCCATTGGGGCTCCCGGAAGAGATCTCCGCGATTCTCTTAATGAGGAGCTGTCCTCCATGCCCTCTGCACATTTTGCTCATATCCCCCCCAAACGAAAAACAAAGAAGAAGGCAACGAGGAGTGGTGCCGAAATGTCTGTCCGCTGACCCTCCCCAAATCCCACCCTAGTGTCCTTGGACCCACCCTGCATGGAGGGCAAGGACCGAGCGCCTACATCCATTCGAGGCGCTGGTTCATTGGTGGGGTTCTCACCACTCTCCATGGCCTGCCAATTGCACCCAGAAATACACACACACGCACACCCGGAATTCGCCCGAACACTTTGCAATGTTCAAGTATGGATATGGTGTCCATCACCGAAACTTGCTACGGTCAATGTTCAATGGTGGGTTGCCAGGGCTTTGCATGGATATCCATCACCCAAGCTTGCTAAGGTTAAACCATGTATGTTGAAAATCATCCACCGAATTTACCCTTGCAAACCTAGTGGGGTAGAAACTGAATCTGCATATTCCGCCGAGCCCGCGTAAACAAAGGGTGATGCACTTCAAGAGCTGTCTTCACCTTTATCACGACTCATGGATCTTCACGTGCAAAAGGAGTGCTTGCCGATCCGGCAATGCAGAAAATTGCTGTTTCTGGCTGCTTGCACGAGGACCCTAAACCGAGTTAGAGAGAACTTGCGGGGTTGCCCTCTGAACGGTTCTGCCTGGGTAGGGGTTTCAAGAGCCCAACGGTGGAGTCCAACTATTGGTCAAACACTACCAACAGCTAGTAAATCAGGGCAGGTTACATGGGCTCCAACTCGTTCCACTACAAGGGCAACATTTAGCTTTGCGAGCTCGTTTTAGACCTGCCCAAATAGTTTGGCGATTGATTTCAAGAACCTCACAGGGGGCTCCTGGAAGACTATTCTCAACCAAGCGGGACACTTCATGCTCAGCGGGACGGTATTGACAAATTGAGATCACCCGGTGCCCTCAAAAAGAGCAAGGAACAAAGTCGGACTCAGAGAAACGTGCCGGGGAAAAGGCATCCTGCAACCTGGTCTGGCGCGCGAAATTTGCGTGATTTAGCACTCCCTCATTGCATCCCGCCCCTCCAAAATAGCTCTTTGGCTTCACGTGATGTTCACATTTCCAAAAAACAAAAACACTCAGAACACGGGTCCAACTTTGCGACATCCCATCTCCTCCGGCTGGCAATGTTGCTCCAGGTAGCCCATGACGTCAAGATCGGGTAGGGAATTGATTCATCTAAACGCTAACAGGGTTGCCGGACCCACTCTGGCAATGTCCGCTCGCCTTGTATCGGTCCAGAAACTTCTCCTTGGCCACTTGCGCATGCGTCCCCCTTCCCAATCTACCTCGGCGTTTCCCCCAAACAACAACGTTTACATCCTGCCCCTTTCTTTAGTGAATCTAAAAAATATGAACTAATGACATTGGGCGCAAAGCAGAACAAGTTACTAGAAATTCACAAACGGTGATTAAGGGATGCCCTGGTAAAGCACAATCACCATGGTAGCTGTGTTGTATAAGACTACTTAGGATATTTATGTACGTAGTTTCATAGAACAATGTTTACGCAATGTTAGAACATATTCTGACAAGGTCTAATCAAGACTCAATTCGACAAAGATAATAATAATAATAATAATAATAATAATAATAATAATAATAATAATAATAACAATAACAATATCAATAATAATTTTATTTAAAAAAAAAAAAAAAAAAAAAAAAAAAAAAAAAAAAAAAAAAAAAAAAAAAAAAAAAAAAAAAAAACCTAGGCTGGCAGCTTGCTTGGGGCGAGGTCTGGCTAAAAGGAAACGCCAGCCAGCACAAGGAGCGCTTTTCAGGTGGACGCGGTATGATAACTTGCCCAGAAATTCAGGCACCGCTCCCCCAACCGACAATGCTTGCGTTGGTCTTGATCGAACTTGTTCCGCTGGAAAAACAAGGGGTGTTTGCACCTACCCATTATACCCGACGGGAAGGCTGGACACTAGGGGAAACCAAAGGAACCCATGCTTTTTTCTCTCCTTGGGTATCCTTTTGCAATGGCTCGGGCTCCACACGTGGTTTCTGCTTTGCTGGAAAACTGAAATCTTTGGGCTCGGAAGTCGCCCTAGAATACCTCGATTCCTGACTGGATCGGCCAAAAGCAGTTCCTTGGACCATATCAGAGTGTTGCCTACCCTTTTGAACGTGTTTACACCACTACTGCTTAAGCAACCTCCTTGTCCGAAGACCCCCGTTCTCATATACTGATTCACAGCCATCGCCAGGGGGGCCTAGTGACGATTTGTAACTCACCGAGACATGAGGGACATGCGCCAAAGGAATCTCACGGCCCCTCTTGATCTGAATCAGTACAGCACATGACCAATACCGGGGGAAAAAAAAGCAAAAACAGAAAACAACAACTTGGATACAGTCATACGAATACGGAAACAAATATCGGTTTAGTCATTCCCTTTTCCTACCTGGGCAATATTCCGAATTCCCTTTACCTCGGGGTTGGGTTTCGTCCTCCCCACGCCCGCTTCGGCCGAGGCGCGGAGTCCCCGGCGCAAGACAGCTGTTGCCAGGGCTCCAAGCGGTACCACCACCTGGTCTTCGGCATGTGCTTCGTCTGTGCGTGTGGTTCGCTTCGCTTGGTTTTTTGTTTGACTTTCTTTTCTGTGTGTTTCGGGCTTGGTTGTGTGTTTGGTCCTGTTTGGTTGCGTTTGGGTTCTGTGTCTTATTTGAAGGTATAGCTCGGCATGTTTGCACAATGCTTGTGCGATTCTGTGCCGTATTGTTTGTGTTTGCATCTCTTTTTCGTCTGTTTGATGGCTCGGGCTCGAAATCTTCTTGTGTCTCTCTTTCCTGGGTATTTGTGCTGCCTTTTCTCTCAAGAGTTGTGCTGGCCGACGTCCTTCCAAACCACGAGTATAAAGGTCGGCAACCTGAGTTCAAAGAGCATTCCTATGCACATATTGTATCCCTGGCCATTGATGTTGGCAGTGGTTCTTTCTTTGCGGACTGTGGAAGCCAATCGATTCGCTTTCCAGAGCTATGGTTCTTGGGGATCGGACCCTTTGGGTGCCTTCCGTCAATTTGAATTGGGAGCATCCCGTAGGTCACAGGTCACTGTTTTTTTCATGTAGAGTCGCTGGAAAAAGTCACGCAAAACGAAAAAGTCCTGTAGGCGCTTTACCCAGGGTCACGATGCGTAAACCATGGTTTCCCGGACTGGCAACAAGCACTTCGGGCACCTAGGAAAACTCAATACAGCGGGGTTACCAACCTCAGTTTGGCTTCCTTGTGAAAAAAAAAAAAAACTCCCAAAAGGAAACAGACCTGAACTTGCAGCCTGAAAAGGCAACCTTCAAATTCCGCGAAACATGGAAGCATAAGGACCCTTGGTAGATCCCTTCCAAGCCACCCAAAAGACAACTCACTCTTGTTCCTCCAACCACGTCCGCACATTTTTTGCAGATTTCCTCCGCCGCCCCCCGCAAATTCCGGGCTCTCCCAACTTCAGTGCGCCAGTTTGGGCGTTGAAGGCGGCGATCCTAAGCGCGGAGCCGGGAAAACTGTTCCAACTGCCATGATCAAACCTTCCCCTCCTGTCCATTCACATGGAACCCTGACTAACCGGTCCTGGAAGTTCGCCAAGTGCGAAGCACCCTCCAGTCAAGGCCCTCGGAAACCCTTGCAACTTGTTTAAAATTACCAGCGGATGGCCCCAAGCCCGGGCCATCCGCTTTTCCCTTTGAACGATGGGTCTACAATGTTGTCCTGACCCCCTTCCAAAAAAAAAAAAAACATTTACCCTCCCTTGCTTTCACAAAGGAACGTAAGGCCTGGTTAGGGGCTGGAAAAAACCAGCGGAGGGGGGTTCGGCCTTATTTTGGTGCTATCCTGCGAAGGAATCGTCCAAACACTTAACCTTGACCCTTCTTGGGGCCAACTCAGAACACCCCGGAATCTCACCATCGGCGAGTGCGGGTCCTCGAAACCCCTAGTCCAAATAGGCATGTTGTTCTTCAATCGAGGCTTGAACGGGTCAAAAGGCATTTCGTCTCGGCTTGGGGTCCCCCCAAAAAGTGGCAGGGGGATCATCTTCCCTTTCCGGCGAGGGAAATGCCAACTTGCGTTGGGCATCCTTCAAGCCTCTCCTGGTGCTGGGTTTGTATCAAAATTGGCAACCACCGAAGCGTTCCGCCTGTTCGTTCTCCTTTCCTTCCCCCATTTAAACCAACCTCCCAAAATGGACCTGCCAGCCTCCCAAACCTGGGAGCCGCAACGACCTCAGTTTTTGCCACAACTGGAAACATATTGGGTCTTTTTGCAACCACGTGTGAATCTCAAATGACATAATAATAATAAAAATAATAATAATAATAATAATAATAATAATACTAATAATAATAATAATAACAATAATAATAATGAAAATAATAATAATAATAAATGATAATAATAAATGACAGGAAAAGTTGGAGACGAGATCTGGCACCGTTTTCGTCTGCCCGTGAGCTTCTCTGAAAAGGCTCGACCGCTCTTGCTTCCAGGCGAAGAGGTGGGGGAAGTAGAGGCTCAGCAAATGCGCAGGCAGTCCCAGCAAGAGTGTCTCGGCGCGGTGAATCGAGTTGGCTGTGGAAAATACGTGAAAAAGGGCCCAAATGACTAGAATGGGGCTGTGGGGTGCTGTAAAAAACCAAATGAGGTCATGATCCCAAAACACAATTCGCCCATAGAAGTTGGGAATGAACCTGCTTCAACGGGTAGGCTGCGTGGAGTAAGTGCTTTCTTCCGGGGGGGGGGGGGGAGCTTCTGCCCCATTTAAAAATAAACCCATATTCATACCAAAATGAACCTGGTCAACTTGGGAATGGGGATTAGCCCCTTCCATGATACCAAAATTGGATTTCCACTGACTTCTTCGTGACTCAAGTGGGATTCCTTGGTATAAGCCTTCTTTGCTCAAAAGAAACCACCCAAGAAACCTTGGGTCTAAGGGTGCCTGTATCAACCTCACAACCGGCCTAGTCTTGCTGGGCCGCAAAGTGAGAAGCAACCTACCAAACGGGAGTCTGTTTTAGGGACCCCCCCCAAAAAAAAAAGCACACAAAAAAACAAGTCATGTCCGTTCCGTTTCCCTATAAACAGACCCAAAAAAGGGTACCATCAAGAAAAACACACACAAATAAAGAATCAATGCTTGAAACTCAGGCAAGCAAAGGGTGCATCAACACATTAAGATCAAAGTTTGCCAACTCAGGCAAGGCTACTTCGCTGGGCGCTGTTCTGTTTCATTTGCTTGCCGGCTCGACATGGTTTGTGGGTTTCCTGACGGCATTTTGGGAAGAAAGTCCCTCCCCGACCCCGAAATGGGTGGCTGGTTGATTTTTCCGCACGGGGTTTTGAGGTAGAGTAATCGTGGTTGTTCGTAGTTGTCTAGCATCTTCACTCTTCAATTCCTGGCCACTAAATCAACACAAACAACCCGCCGGACAGACAGCTGGCGCGGCAAAAATGCACGTCACCGCGCTTACGGTGCAGCCAAACGCTCGCAGGCTTTAGATGTTTCACTTACCACAATGCGCCCTTGTCACAATGCGTGCTATCCTCCAGTGTGATTCACCAAAACGTGTGTTTCGCTGAGGCGAAACAAGAGAAATCAAGAAAAGACAACAGAAGTTCCGTGGCGAATTTTCCTGTTTTGAGAACAAGCATGTGCATCTTGCCTCAGCGACACGCTCAAACCATACTGCCTCGCTACAAAGGAAATGCCGACTTGCGTGATCTCTGGCATGCGCCGCACGGCTTTGCCTTTGGAAGACAACAAGTCTTGCATCCGGTTAATGTACCGCCGCTGCCACGCTCGTGCTGGGGGGTAGGGCGGGGCTTGTGCCAGGCATGCACGCAGGTGCGCCGTACCACGTGCCACGCATGTATGCAGGGGCGACGAGGAGTGTGGGCGGGTGTGCTTACCATGTGCCAGGCATGTACGCAGGCGTATGATTGACACAGTGGGTAGGTCGGCTTGTGCGAAACCCACTTTCTGTGGGCCGGTGAAAAGTCCGCTTGCTTAAACAGCCCGAAAACCCAAGAAAACGCCACGCCGGTTTCCGGGGCGTAGGCACAAACAAGTTCGACGTCGTTGCCATACTAGCCATTAACAGGACGGGAGTCTTGAACAAGTCAATCTAAGCAGTGGAAAAAACGACAACTCATGTTTCACTGAAAAGGACAAGGTGGGAAAAAGCGAACAGGGGACTGGGTTCCCGTTGCTTTTTGGTTGAAATGTTGCTCCCCCCCCCTTCGCCCCAGAATTTGTCCTCCCCAAACCAATAATAGACGAACAATAAAGTCTGGAGCTAAAGCCAAAACCATAAGGAATCAACCTGGTAAAAATTAGGGGTCCCAAAAGGCGAGAGCCAAACAAAGTACCCAGGATTCCATGTACATTCTTCCGTCCTTCGATTCGAATACCCTGGTTGGGCCATTCTGAAGGAGAACCAAAAGGGTAGCCGCCCAGTTTGGGTTCCAGAGACTACTCCATTTGCGCGAGAAAAGGGAACCCCCCCCCATTCATCCGGAGCGGACTTCAAACGCTTTTTGGTGTACAGTGGCCTTCCTTCCTCTGACCATGAACCGATCATGTTTCAATTGCGCCTGGCGCGAACAAACACAGCTCAAAACTAGCATCTGGGGATGGCGTCTACGAACTGGGGGGTAGAAACCCCAACACGCATGGTCGCTTTTAAACAGTAACCCCACGGTATCCTCTTTCAAATCGACCCTGAAAAGGATATCCTCAAAAAGGGGGGGCAAGGACGAAACGTGTAGCTGATCTGAAATTGCACTTCCTGAGACAGCATCGGCACTTTTGTCCCCCAACATGAATTTCTAAAAAGACTTAACTTGAGCAGCAAACTGACTGTGAAACTCCGAAAAGAGACACATCATGGATGGGTGTGTCGTGTCCAAAAAGCATGTCGTACAGTGGCTTTTGATACCTGGCTTTTCCTGAAGGGTTGTGACTTAGGGTCAGTCAGGAGCCTGTGATGTTTCCCAGTCGGCCCCTGTCAAATGGCAGAGTCATAATCAAAGCCTGATACTAAAAACGGTCCACCCAGAACCATGTAAAGGTTTAAAGAGGCGGCAACCGTTTTGGGCTGGGATTCTCCCTCTTACTAGTCTTCATCATCCCGGGGTTTCGAGCAAATGGCTCATTTGGTCCTTAAGCCAGCAAAAAAGAAGCAGCTCTTGACAAAAAAACAAAACTGGTCTCTTTGGGAACCCCCTTAAGGACAAAAGCTATGAGGGGCTCTTGAAAAAAAAACTATGAGTAGCTCTTGACAAGAAAAGCAAAACAAGGACAACAGCTCTTTGAGAAAAAAAGCAACTGGTCTCTTCCAGTCAACAGCACACCAACTTGATGCTCGGCGCCAGGATGTGAGGCAGCACCATGGAGGCGCGCACCAGCAGCGGAGCCCCAGGGTTCCTCGACACACGGCGAGTCGAGGGGTTCTGCAAGGATACCCAGGTACCCGTTGGGTGTTCTGAACGGCAAACTGAAGGGGAATCATATATATATATATATATATATAAATATGTTCTAACTATATTCTATATATATATGATGGTTTTTCCAAAAGAAGGCGCACACGGTTTGCGGCGGCTCCGCCTCGCTGCTGTAACATTTGCTGGCTCTTGGTGAGGAATGTGGCTTCCATGGGACCGGTTCTCTTTAAAACCATCAGAAAACACTTCAAAGCGGGCAAATTGGGCAAACAAATGACAGTCCCCCTTAAAACCTCACCCTCCAGATCGCCTTGCAAGAAAGGCTCCATCCACAGTGGGAACCCAAAAATGATGCTTGAACTACCGAAAAAAAAAGAGAGGGAAAACAAAAGAAGAAACAAACAACTAACTCAGTGGTTGCCGCCAAAAACATGTACGTCGATTATGGTCGGGAATCTTGACATGTGAAATAAATCCAAAAGAGATCCCAAACAAAACAAATGGGATGTATACAGACCCCCGACAGGGGTCTTCGCGTGGGTTGATACTAGGTATTTTGTTTGGAGTTGGTAACCTTTTTTGGGTCTTGTGCGAAGGGGATATCTGATTTCGCACATCATTAGAACACACACCATGTGTAGAACAAGTTCCTGGCCCACTCGGACTCCAGGACGAAAGATGGTTGGAAGAGGCAACCGGACAAAGGCTGTGGGGTGCACGTCTAGTATTTTTGGTTCATCAGTGTTGCTTGCAAAAGAGGCTCATTGTAGGGGTAACCGGCGGTTGTTGAGCGCGAAAAGACTACAAAGCTTGCCAAATTCAAGAGAAAGGGCCGCTGGCCCAGTGTTTTCCATGCGCCCTTTAAAGGGCTTCTTTTGGCTTCCCACCCCCTCCAAGCCCAGTTCAACGCTCGGAAGCCCCAAAAAAAGTGTCGGGCACCCTTTCGGAGTTGAACGGTTGTCTTACGCACCCGCAATCAAATGGTTTGTTGACCACCCACTAAAGCGACCCCAAAACGTAGATTGAGTCCGGCAATTGAGTTTTTGCCGAACCTGCCCCATCACCGAAAGCTGGCTTAAAGCTGGTTTAGAGGATCCCAATCCCTGTCAAGCAGGTAATGTTTGGATTTATCCGTCTACCGGAACCCGGACGCGGCAACATGGGGCCCGCTCTTGCCGATGCCGATCACCAGGGAGGGGCCAGGCACGCCGGCTATTTGTCCCGCCTTAAAGCGAAATCGACCGCCCCCAAAGGGAGGTCCAACTTGCGCTCCATCCCACCAAGAGCTGGCATTTGTCTTACCCCTTGATTGTCTAGCTTGCTTCCCATTTTAGTATGTCATCTAGCCAATTTGTGTTTGTCTAGTTTTAAGTTGCTTATTGATGTGAATGTTCCCTCTCTTACAACATTTGGGTGTCTTGTTTCCCGAGCTCAGTCCATCAGAATTGCTTGTTCTACGTCTTAATGGCTGTTGACTTTCCGCCCCTCAACAACATGCCAAGATGATGGTAACAAAGCGACATCGATCAAAAGACAAGTGAAGCCGGGTAAACCGATTTTCTTGATTGCATATTTGGAATCGGGTCAAGAATAGGCACCCAAAATGGAATCCTGGTAAATAGAAACATGGACTAAAATACGCGGTCCCCCAGTTGGCTTAATTTTGACTAATATCCATTTGGCCATGGGTCAAAACCCCGTACCCCCAGTGAACATCCCAACCACTAAAATAGGTTCTAAAGTGGGTGGTGCACCTACCCCAAGAAGGTACAATTGGTGTTGACCCACAGCCATTTAACTTGGGAATAGAAAGGCGTCTACGATAGCGCGGGAAGAGAGCGTTCGGGAGGACCACAGCTTGTTTTGACGCCGCACGTGCATCCAAAGCTGCCAACACAGGAAATGCTCTACGTGTCGCCCATGTCTGGCCGTCTAAAAGGAACCACCGTAAATTTGCTGAATCGCTTCCTTTGAGAAAAAATGAGTTGGACCTCCAACATGACTCGCTTCCTGCCACTCATAGCGGGGGTCCAACTTGGTGTCCAATCCAGACAGGAATGCTCCAAAGACCCGAGCACCAGGGACGAGGGTAGCAGGTCGGACCCAATGGAAACCAACGAAAGCAAACCTAACCAATTGATACCCTTGTGGTTTCGAACAATTGCTTCTAAAAAAACGCCTCGTTCCCAACCCAGGCCCTCAATTTTTTTAGACCCCGAACTCTGCAAAACCAAAGGACACCAATTTGAAGTTGGGGCTTGAATCTTTCTCGGAGCAACCCTGTGGGCCCCCAGGCGGCTGCTGCCTGCATGCCAGGCAGGCCCAGTTTCACCTTCCAGAGCAGGGCACCTGTCTCGTAGTCGTACCTCGAAGGCGCGGACGCGCGGGAACGCGTGGACGCGCGGCGCGGCGATGCCCTTGGGGTAAACTTTGGGCAGGCCGGTTGACTGGACAAATCGAGTATTGAGGTGTTGTTTTACGGCTTGAGTGTACAGTTAAGTACTCGAAACACTAGTGGGATGAAATAATCGCCTTAAGGAATGCTTGTTAGACATTGAGTGGATCGTTGATCCCTAGCTCAAAGGCCTTTGTTGGCGGAGTATGTCATTCATCCCTCCGAACTCTAGCAATCCAGTCTAAACGCGGAACGAACCACACTGTCCTAGGGTAAATGTTTTCCCGCCAAAACCGCCAAAGATGTGTACAAGCGCTGCTTTGCTGCTTTGCTGCTTTGCTGCTTTGCTGCTTTGCTGCTTTGCTGCCTTGCTGCCTTGCTGCTTTGCTGCTTTGCTGCTTTGCTGCCTTGCTGCCTTGCTGCTTTGCTGCTTTGCTGCTTTGCTGCTTTGCTGGCGGCCGGAATTGCCTGGCTAGCCGAAAACTGACAAACTGATTGAAACCCTGCAGCCATGCGTGCCATGGTCAAAAGACCGGTTTCTTTGCTTGGGATTAGTAGGGATGGTCATCCACATGGTAGGGATCCTTCATAACTATTTTCATGATTCCTATCAAGAGAACCATGGCCACAGGCCATGAAACACGTTTGAATGGATCAAAGACGAGCCAGTCAAAAACAATTGTCGTGGTTTAGAATGATTGCCTCTCTAAGGCACTTTTGCTTTCTCGGGGTTGTCTTTTTGCGCAATCCCTTTGGCAGCGAACAAAAGTGCACCAGACAGTCAAAACTCTGACCCCAGTGAAATCAATTCCAGGTTGAACGGAGATCAAAACCTTGTTTCCCTAACCTAAAGTTGCCCTTGTTGGTGCGCCCTTTCTGTTTTCTCATTTGTGCTCAAAAATCGGGGCCCGCAATGAATGGAACACTCGGCAATGGACAAGTCGAAAATCTGCGGTCCCTGGCCTTAAAATTTTGAGCCACACCACACACAGGATCCACAAAAGGATCATCCAACCCGACTGACACGCCTTGGGCCATAACTGTCCTACTCCAAATTGCAGTCGCGTCAAGGCAGCTTCCTGGCCCTTTTACCCCAGGCGACAAGTTGATCGATCGAATCAACAAGCACGTGCTCCTGCCGCCGGTAGATCGCAGAAAACTTCTCCAAGCGGCATTGACTGCCAAATACACAATGCCCCTTGGATGACATTGGCTGGAAGTGCTCGGTGATGGCAATGTTTGGCTATGCTGACTCGCCATCTGGGAGCCTTGCCTCTGCTTTCCCTGGCAAGCTGTGATAAGCCTGACGAGGGATTTGCCCTCCACAGAATGCTGGAATCCACCTAGGGAAACATGCAATGAATTCCACAGATCAATGAACATAGACGATGAATGATCAAGCCTATATGCTTGAACATGTTAAATCACTGCGGCTCATGCATCCTCAATTTGGGGGTGTTCCCCTAAAAGTGATGCGGGCCCATCTAAAGCATGAGACACCCCCAATTGAAATGAGCAGGAATTTGGGCAAATTACTCCAATTCCAAGCCAACAAAGCTAATTTGGAACTCCACTTGGGTTCAAATGCCTCTAATTCCAAAGCCAACAACAAGTTGGAGCCCAACATAGAACCTTCATGGGTGAGTTCATTTGACCCGCGGGTCGCGCTCCTGTGAAAAACACCCCAGAACATTCCCAAGACTTCCGCTCCCGATTCTTGGGGCGCCGGGCATTGAGAGCAGGCCTAGAGGCGAACAAATCAGAAACCGAGAGGCCAGAGAAACCCCACTGAGAAACCCGTGAGTTGGAGAGAAGTCTTACAAGAAGGTCCGAAGCCAAACAGCGTGCACGAACAGGTGTTTTCGGCCACTCTCCTCTTAGTCTCTGTTTGCTTTTTTTTGTTTAAGGATTCCTGGGAACATCCAGCACATGTCCTGATAAAAAACAATCGCCTTTTTCGAGGCAAACCAAGCGATTTTTTGCCGAGAATGAGAAGTGTTCACCAAAGCTGGAAGCTTCCAATGGGCTCAAGGGAATCGGAGCCTCGAAAGCGGAATCGATGTTCCTTGCGTTCTGGAGAAGCGACTGAAGAAGGGTACCCTCCAAAAAACCGAATATCCAAATTGTGGCTGTGCAAAAAGCTGCATTCCCGGAAACTCTCTGAAGACAACTGTGCCACTGAACTGGAGCCAAACAGCTCGAGAGGATTCTCATCGATTCCTTTGGGACGGACAAAATCCTTTTCGCACCAGTTGGCATTGGTGGTTTATGCCATTCACAGAACTTCATCCACAACTAGAGCAGGTGTGTAGCTGTGCCCCACATCCATCAACGGATGCGTGGCGATCGAAAACACAGGCTTAGATCATGGATTTCACGCCATGCCTCGAGCATGAGTACCTTGGAAGGCTCTTACACTCAGCTCGTAAGCTCGCTCATTGTTCTCAGTAAGGAATATGGAAAAGCGCCCCGTGTCAACCACGCATAGGCCAAGAGCAGGGATTGCTTGCTGTAGGAGGAGGCGTTTGGCAGGAAATATCTGGGCGTATTCCTTTGAAGGTTCATGAGAACCGGGGTGGTGAGGGGACAGCAATTCTATGGCTTTCCAACATACTCCCACAAAACGCAAACAAGTATTACTTTGGATCTTCAAGGAAAGGAGGTAACTGCCTCGGAATTCCAAGAGGGACAAGTTGGTGTTTGGAGTAGTGTGTAGCCGTGCTCCCCCCCATCCTTCCCTCCTCAGAGAAAAATCATATCAAACCTAGTAAAACCCTCTACCAAAATGGTCCTCAGGATATGTAGCTACAGAATCCTGTGTGCATTGCATGGATCTGGCGGTTCTAGAGGGTTCCGCAGTGTTTGGTTGCCCTGGGGCAAAACTTCAGAGTAAAGTACAGGTCGCCTCGGGTTGTGGCGGGCTCCGCTTTCGCTGCCAGACCAGTTGGGAAGAGACAACCAACTCGCCTGCAAATCTCTCGGAGGGTTTGACGTGGGCGCTTCCCAAAGATCAGGACCCTTGGGACAGATTGCCACACCGCCCATGTTGGGAGGTTCCAAAGCCCCAAACAAAAATCGGGGTTCTTTTCAAGGTAAATCCAGGCGAAACTTATTTGGGCCTCGACCCGGCTCCGGCCTTGCCCTTCCTCCGCCGTTTGATGACTGCCGCCCTCGTTGCTGACCTCGCGAAAGTCACAAACCTTCTCCTACCACCTGTTGGAACATGCTTAAACCTGTAGTGTTCAAATCACTGTTCACAGCCCCATTTCAACTGGGGATACTGAGCTTGCATCGTAAACCCTTCACTTGATTGTGTCTCCGTGCTTTTTCCTGCTCCCCAACCAAACAAGCCTTCGGAGTAAGTTGAATCTCGACTCCTGAAATAATATGGTCCCCTGAAGCAACAAGTTCTCCACCTATGGGCATGTGGGAAACCTGTCGCTGTCTGAAATGATCTTCCCAAAACATATCAAATGAACTGGTGAAACTGTGAAACTGCCAGGTCCACAGGTGGGCCCACTTTGTGTCAGAAAACTGGGGGGGGGGAGGGAATTCGGACCCTCAAAATGGCCGGTTTGCCTTTTGGTTTGCCTTGAAAGCCAAAAGAAGACTGCCTTACCCAAGGGAGGAGTGTCGCACTAGGAGGATATTTACCGCCCATCCGAGGTGCCCATCAGGAAGCTACTCCTCTGCGAATAGGCCAAAATAGCTGGAAACACAATAGACCTCCTGTTGGTTGGTTGTTTTAAAGGGAAACTAACTGGAAAATAATGTGGAACCCTTCCGCAATCCTCGCCCCAAACTACCCCAGTTCCTATCTGGGCAAAGATCCCATAGCTTTCAACTGTTGGAAAACTAACTATTTTAGGGGTTCCCTGATTTGGAGACACAACCTATCATTTTATGACCAGCACAAACCATTTCAAGGGTTCCGACCTGTTGGAAGACATACTCCCCTTCATGTGTGCCGGAAGGAATATGAAGGAACCCAACGGGGGGTCCGCAGTGGCCCCGTTTTAAGGGAGAGCAAACAGCCTAAAAATATCAATCTGCCCCCCCCCACCCCAACAGAGTAAACCCAGCAAAAGTTTGTGGAGCTTGCAGTTGCCCAGTGACACTCGTAGGAAAGGGGCCAACTCTTCTCCGTCAACTTCGGCATCTTTTTGGCGGTGCCGTGTGGTGGGGGTCCACAAGAAAACCACCACTAGCTGGACGCCGGGCGGTGTAGACCTTGCCCTCGTAGATCACCGCCGCGCCGGTGGTGGCAGAATTGCGGTCCGTCCTCGGGCCGTATGGGGCGTGCCATTGTTGGAGGGATACCCTTTTTGGGCTTGGTTTCATCTTTTTGGGCTCCCCCTTTTTGAAGGTACCTTTTGGTGGAAAACAAAAACATTTGTGAATTGCCCCTATTTTGAGACACACCCAATATGGCGTAGCTACATGGCAAAAGTGTCGACATGTCGCGGAAAGCAAAAATCAACCCCCAGACCTTGAGTTGACCTCCGCGGGAACAAGGGGAGCCCAGACTTCAGGCGTTGGCATCTCTGACGCCCTGGTTCAAGCTCGCATATTGGCTTAAGCATCCCACCAGCTACCAGGGCCCTGCAATTGGCAATTCCAAGGTGATGGTTGAACCATCCTAAAAGGGGGGTGGTTTAAAGCAGCCGCCGAAACACGCTGAGAAGCCAACATCAAGTTTGTGGATCCGTGGGCAAATGCAAGCCTATGATCCTCCCTCCCCAGGCAAACTGTCCAATCCAGGTTTCCCTCCCTCAGCTTGCCAATCTGACCGCTGCAAAAAGCCAAGTTGTTGCCACATGCGAAAATGGAGCAAGCCAAAAACCCAAGCCAGAAAGGGAAGTTTCCTGCCCTGCAGGCTAACACCGGAACCCCAGGGGTGGAAGAGGCTTTTCCTAGGTTCCGCGCGGCCTGCTTTTGGTTCGGCAGGGCGGTCCCGACCCAAAAAGCCACAGAGGGTTCGCTTGTTTTTCGAAGAAGCCATTGTTTGAGGGGGGGGGGTTCGGCCTGGCTTGGGTTTCTTTAAGGTTTGTTTTTGGATGGTTCAGGTTGGGCTGAGGGTTGGCTCAGTCCTGGTTTGGGGTGGAGGCTGGCTTAGGAATGATGTAGTGCGCAGTATGGATTAGGCAATACTAGTTGGCAACAAGCATGCAAGCACGCTGGTGTCACCGCCGCGTCGTTGCCTGCCCGGCGACACGTACTAGGCTCGCCGCTGTGAGAAAGCAACTCTCAGCCGTCCATCAGTGATCTTGTAGACCAAAGATTTTCCGGCGACAGCAGATTCTACGTAAACAAGCCAGAACATCCATGACGGTCCCCCGGGATCTCCCGCTCAACATGCGCCACGCCCCGGCACGCCTTGGACTTAATTTCAATCGCAGGCGTCCAGCGCCAAAGTAGCCACTCAGAGCATCAACATTGCGGAATGGTTTTGGGGTGGTGTAGTTTCGGGTTGGTTTAGAATCGGTATCGGGATGGCTTTGTGGTGGTTTGGGGTGGGTTTAGGGGTGGGTTTAAGGTGGATTTAGTTGTTTTGGCTTTAGTGGGGGGTTGGGGGTACGCTGGACGATTTTGAGTTGGCTTAAAGCTGGGGTGGGTGGGTTGGGGTGGGTTTAGGTGTGGCTCAGGGCGTTGGATTTAGGTTTGGATCCTGGAGGGTTTGCTTCGGGTGGGTTGCAAACACGATCCTGGCAGCAATGCTAGCTGAGGATGTTGGAAGCCAAAAGCTGCAAAAACCGCCGACCGACCGGGCACCCTTCCACGACCCACGCCAAACCTAGCTCCCAAAAAAAATGTGTAAATTATTCCTGCCGCTTGGCATTCGCGAGTTTTGACGTTGCATGCCAAAAGTCCGCGTCAGCGGGGCCACTGAGGCGATGGGACGAGGTCTCTCTTGTCAAGCAGCTCGGCTGCATCCGACGCCAAAAAGTCGCGGAGCTCCGCGCGGCGGCGGGATGAGGGCACTGGCGCCGGGAGCTCCAGTGATAGGGCGCCGCTGCTGCTTCCGCGCAGAGGGTGTCACTTTCGCAGAGCGGGCTCGGTCCCACCGCGCCGCCTTAAGTACTCTTCATTTCGGGTCTTGCGCGAGCGCACTCATGCAAGTTGGCGCGTGCAAATGCTCTTCGCGTGCTCTCGTGCTACTTGCTCTGCATGTACTCTCGCGCGAACTGGCTGCGCGATAAGGCTAGCGATTTTACCAGAAGAACCCTTCGCAATGCTTTCGGGACAAAACCGCCGCCCCAACAAAGGGTGCCGAAAAGGAGTCTAACCAACAGGTTCCTTCTTGCACCAACGGACAACCATGTGTCGCATCCCAGAACTACTTTGTCAGGCTCACCCAATCTCCCAAGGAAACATTAGAACTACCCCAGCGAAAATTTGTCTTTTGGGAGCTTTCCGAAATCGAGGACACCCCTTTTGGTTGGTACTCAAAAAACCAGCAGGGAAACCGGTGGTTTACGCCAAGTTTACACCCACAGGGAGTGAGGTACCTCTGGCAGCTCTGGGTCCGCAGGCACACCGGTGTACCAGATCTTCTCCCCGCTCAGGGTGACTCGGTACGGCGCCCCCGTCTTGTCGGTGAAGATAAAGCTGCCGTCCCCGATCCTCGGAACCAAAATGCATGCGGGCTCCGAAGTCCAAAAACCACCACACCTGCCTAAGGACTTGGATCCTCTACATCAGAGGGTAAAGGTGATCTGTTCATTGTCCCAAGTTATATCCGTTAAGAAACCCTGTCTTATTTCCCTAAGCTAAGAGAAAATGCACTGTAAGTTGGCTTAAGAGAAACTACGTCCCAATTCCAAAGTCGTAATTATGCTGTTCCGGTTCTTATTTGGTGAACCCCTCAAAATGCCAAAGAGGCTCAACTTGAGATCCCGGCTAAGGTACTGATCTACAACAACAGGGGAAATCTGGGAAAGCCTCTTGGTGTCCGGCACAGGTTGGTGCAAAACCTGGTGTGAAAAATTGAAGGTCCTGCCCCTGCAGATCAGCCGAGCAAACCCGGGTAACCCAAAGAGGGTGGAATCGCAGAATTGCCAGTGTTCCTGGGTTTGGTCTCCTCGTGAAAACTTTCCCAGGGTTTATTGGGCGGCAAGAAGCACCATCCCTTGTGCTTTGGGGGCATCTTCTCTGGCTTCCGGGAAGTGTTGAATGGACCACACCTGAAGTGGGCCAAGAACCAGTGACCCTGGTGGCAGAAAGGAAACATTTCTGTTTCGTGTTGACCATGTGCGGAACCCACCGCACAAGGAATACAGGGTGCCACTCACACCTGGGATGGAAAATGCCTCTCATCTGCATCTGCTGTCTAGCCCAGGGCAACCAACTGTGGTACCATCAACCTGTGAAACCGTCCCACCCCAAACCAACAGTCTGCTGCTCATAGAGGCCATATCACCAGGAAGCCAGAGTTCCAAGGGGGGGGAGGTGAAATCCACTTGTAACCTCCCTTCAAATAGGGAGCCCCCCCCCTCAAAAGGCTGGTGAAGGGCCAAGAAATCTGCCCCTGAATCCTCCGAAGGGTACAAAAGCGTAGCATTCTGAAGCTCATATTGCCATCCTGCAGGTTGCCAAGGAGCTCCGAACAACATATCCATCCTACCTCCGGTAAATATACAATAAATTTGCCAAACACCCACAAAGATCACCATAGAGTTGGCAAAGTCCCATGTGATTTTCCTGGAGCTTCATTCCTGCAACCCAAAAGGTCTAAACGTTTTGACTTTCCCTCAGATGCCCAGCGGCCATGGAAAATATGGGCATCCTTTTTTAGGCAGTTGAGTTTGAAGCGGAACCCTTCCCAAAAAAAGAAAAAACGGGCGCCACTGGGCAACGGGGTTCGACTCAAGTCCAGCTCGGGGACTGAGCCCAAAAAAAAATCGTGGGACGCCATCTGCCGCAAGATCTCAGCCGCGACCTGCCTGAATCCAAATGCCCCCGTCCTTTTGGGCTCGTCCTTCGTTGGGCTTGATTCAACCGGGGGGCGGGAGGGGGGGGGGGGGTCTCCAAAGAGTCCCCGAAAATGGCCGGTTCCCCTTTAATCCCGACTGAAATACCAACCAACAAGGCGCCCACCATTTTGGCGAGGGTTTCCAGGCTGGTTGTTGGGTGAACCCTCGCATGGTTGGCATTCTGGGTTCACGGAGCTCGCCAAATTTTGAGACAACCCCAGCTAAAATCAACCACCAGTGACTGTCATGACAATGATACGGCGACATAGTATAAGAGAAAGCTCGCCGTCCTTTAAGATCAAACACCATCGGCAAATTGCTAGATGTTTATATATGTATATACATGTGAAATATGAAAATGTATTCCCCTTCATCAGGAGACAGAGCCGTGCTTGTGTAATCTCAGGCGAGGTGAGCCGTTGATTCTGCAACAAGGTAGCGCTAAAGCCAATGTTCAAAATGGAAAAATCCACCTGATCAGTTCACAGGATGGGATCCTCCACAAGTTTGCCGAATGTCCCTCGAAAAGCACAAAGCACCCCCCCAGGAAAATCAGGCGTCTAGGCATCCTGTTGTTCAATGAATGGGACCGTTGCTCATAGCTTCGGCGTCAAAATCTCCAGTCCATGGTCCATTGTTCTCATGTTTTTTCCATCAAAATCAGGGACTCGTGAATTGGGTGTGAGTCAGAAATAGCCCCCCCCCCAAAAAAAAGCGCTAAATGGAAAAATGAACTACAACCTGCGGCCCAATTCCTGGTGGTTCAGTTTCTGACTCGGACAAGGCACGTGGCCGCCTGGAAGTTGTAGCATTCCATGGCCGGGAAAAACCGCCACTTCTCTTCCCCCGCCGTCCTCAGGGAAGAACGAACCAACGCACCGGCAGAGGCGTCCAAGGAAAACGCGAGCATTGGTCATGATGGCACCGGGCTTTAGCTCGAAAATAGGGCAACCCCCCCAACTAACTGCCCGCTTTTCAGAACAAAGACAACATGTGTGGCTTCCTCAGGCCCTTGATGTTGAGCCATGCCCAAAGTGGACCATCCCTTCGGTGGATGGACAAATCCGCTTCCGATAGATGCGGCACTATGATTACTCGGATAAACCATCCACCAACTGGCGCAGGATTTTGTCCGTCAAAGTAGCACAGGCGTGTGGCAAAGAAATATTTCCGTAATGCCAACGTGGGGCATCCCTAAGACTTTGGTTTCACTTGCAAGCGGTTGCCCTTAGTATCACCTCAAGTGACCCCAAAGTCCCACCTACCACAACCCTGAGGATGCAGTTGGAGCAACAAATTTAGGAGGAGTTCTAAGGTAAGCGGATAAAACCGAGCTGAGAGCCTCAAGATCCAATGGTTGCAATCCTTCCAGAGAGAGGACGGTTTGTGAGAACGTTCACATTGCAATGTGGTTGTGTACTCTAGAACAAAAAGACTATCATATATCTTGAGCCGCGCCCAAAGCCGATGTTTGGTTCTACCGATCAGGACAAGGCTGATCCAGGCGCCCTGCTATCATCCCATTAAACCATGGGCAGAACGACTGGAACGGCCAAGAGGAACCGGTTTTATGCCACGGGCTTCAGGGCCACTTGGGACCTGCAAACGCGCAACCGACAATACGGGGTGCAATCCATTTTTGAGCAACACAAAAAGCGAGTTTGGAGGGGGTAGAAGAAAGCAAAAGCAAACCAGCCATTTTGGGGCAAACCCGCAGGGAGAAACATCAATTGTGCTCAAGGAGGCGCGTGCTTGTTGTGTAATCTCCTTTTGACGGCAACTTGGGGCCTTTCGAGATGTTGATACGGTGGATGGACAAAATCTGCACCAGTTGGTGGGTAGTTCATTCCAGAATTCATAGGGTTGGAGGTTGGAGAAATTTGTTCATCCACAGTATCATCTACAAATACGGAATTAATTCTGGGTTGGCCGTTGACCCCTGCAAAAATCTGTGCGTTTTGCCGGTTTGTGGGAACAGAAACATGTTCTCCAACAGCTTTTTCGGTCGCAGCTCAAACATCGAAACCGCTGCCAACTCAAACAAACTTAACACCACTTCCTGAGTGGATCGGCAAAAAAAAATATCCGTCTCTGCCATCATGGTCTTCCCGAAAAAAGAAAAAAAAAAAAGAAAAAAAACAACGAAAAAAAAAGGGGGAAAAAAAAGAACTCGGGCAGTGAGACACGAGGCACTCCAAAAGAACATTCGAAAAACACCGCTCCGAAAGGAAAACGAAATCTTCAGTCAGAAACCTGGTACTAAAAGGGTCTACCCACAACCATATATAAAGAATCAAACAGGCGGATATTCGCACCTGTGTATGATTGGGGGACTAGCTATCTCTTTTTAACCTTAATCCACCTTGTCTTTCAAATGAGCAAGTGGCTCACCTGACCTTCCGCCTTGGTTCCCCCCCCCATCTTTCGAGCGCCGAGCAGGTCTATCCCGAGGACGACGTTGTTTTCAACCTCAGCTCATTGGACTCCAATCAAAATTCGGCGTCTCTGGGCGTGAGTTGGTGTGGTTTGGAGGTGTCCGGGCTGGCACGCCACCTGCCATCCAAGGAGGACAGGGGGGTCAAATCCAATCCAAACCACCAACCAAGGGTTAGCTGAGCAAAACAAGGCCTAAGAGTTCAGCACACGGATGCCAGATTAAATCGGGTTATGAAACTCAAAACTTAGCATGTAACCGGGGTCGCATGTGTGGAGTTGCTTGAAACAAAATGAAACACCCTTTTTGGGGGGTTCCCCTATTCTCAAACAACACTATATTAGATTAGATTGCTCTAGGGTTTGATTCCTGCTCCATGTGGTTCAGCCATCATTATTTTCAAGCATCTCGCCATTCCTCTCAACCATCTTATTGCTAGATGTTCTCGCAACTCAACCCTGAACCCCTCGAACACCAGGTCTACCGTTTGTCTTCAACAACCAGACATCCCTATGACCCCAATGTCCAGGGTCTCACAAGACGACCCCAAACACATCGACCACTTTGTTGAGGTGAAGAACCGCAAAGGTATCTTCAGGGTGTAGCCTGCCAAACAAGAGGCTCCGCCAAAAGGAAAACCGTTCGAGAATGAGCCCATTAAAACATGTGACCTTTACATCACCCCAAAAGGGCATGTCTAAGGCGCGAAGTGAGAACACTCATCAGTATTATCATGACTTGAGTTGGTCTTGAGATCTCCCGAAACCCCACTCTATTTGGTTGGGCCCTTGTAGTAGTTGAGCCATAAACTGCTCCGAATAGACGAGTTCGAATCACTCGTACCAAAAAATCGTGCATTCAAAGCGTCACAGCCAAATGTAGTAGTTCACCCAGAAGTCTCCAAGTCACCCATTTTGGGCAACCTGAAATGCTCTCGTCGCTGGACTCGAGAACTCCTTTGGACCCCCAAAACTCTCGGCGAGCTAGGTGCCGGGCGGACACCTGCATATGCACCCCCAAGGCGACGAGCGGCGGAACCTGGCGCTCGTTGACGCCACGGGACCTTTGTGGCTCTCGGGCGGAAGCCCTGCGTCAATTAGAATCTCCTTCAGGGTCTCCGTTTGGGGCTCGTCAAGCTGCAGGGGTAACTGTTCGTTTATGCCCACCACGGACCCCCAAGGCGAGGGGTAACTGTTGGGTTGTTTTTGCCAGACCAGCCATTTAAGATGGTTGTCGAGAAGGGGGTTTAGGCTACCACTTTCTGCAAATGGCAGATAAGGAGGTCATAGATTTGGCGGACTAGCAAAAACAACTGTTCAAAGACCAGGGGAAACATTCTACGACGTCTCACACCCAAACAACTAAAAATGCGATGTCGCTGCCGCCTTCAAAAAATGGCCGAGGGGACGCGGATCAGCTATCTTGACCCGTCGAACCAGGATGGGGGGCCCGGTGGTTGATTCAAGCCAACCAAAAAATCAAAGAACACATTACTTGTCGATGCGTCCTATGCTCAAATGTCTTCCGTGGTCCTGTCATATCAAGGGGTCCATGACCCTCCTACAAACCCACTTGCACGTCTTGGGGCACGGGAACAAACTGAGAGCCCTCCTTGACCAACCATGGGAAAGTATAAGAAAAAACCGAAACTTGCAAATGACGCCTGGGTGTATGAACAAACCGGGTGTCCCCCCTTGTGGTACGCATGCCCAATCAAAGTGAAGAAACTGCTCAGGAAAACACTTACAGAGCAGGCCTCTGCGGCCACAAGAAGCAACATAACCAGCCGACTCCCGAAGAAGCCTGGCCAGCCTATTAACGAAGCCCTGTCTTGCATCTGTCCTCGCTCTTGCGACTTTTTAGGCAGAAGGGTTGTGCAACCCCTGACTCAACATGCTGCAAATCAGACCATCAAAGGCAAATACACGCCACACACAAGATCTGTGCATAGTCAGTCTGTTTAGTAGGCCCAAGCATTGGACCGCCGTCTCAAAGATCCATTGATGGCGGTCCACAAAAACCAAGCCTTTCGCATACGGGATTCGCGTGTTGCCATAGAAAACGACGCTTTCCTGGGAGCATGTAAGTTCGTTTGGTAGAATTAACAATTCCGCCCTCCTTTCGGCACGCACTTCTGCCCATTTCGGTCTGAGCAGCGCATAACAAGGCCCCCTGAATGTGGACTGAAAGCCCACACGATACATGCAAGAGAATGGGGATCAAAGCGTCGTCTCAGGCGGGTCAAAGCAGTCAGACCTCAGATCTGAGGTCGGAACTGGGTCCGCCACAGCGATGATGGCCAGGTTCCCCTCGATGAGAATGGAGTCGCAAGAGAGGCCGGTCATCGGGGCCACCTTGCGGCTGGCGTTTCTGTTTCCGAAAGAAACAAGGCATCACGAGCTTCCGTTTGGTAGTGGAACCCAAGTGTTGCTCCCATTGACACAAAAGTAGACATGTGGTCCCTGCAGCAACCAACTTCCGATCTTTGATTTTTGATGATCTTTCACAGGCTCGGAGTAATCCTGTCTAACTGTCTAACGACTCGGAGGAAATAGAGTCGGGCCGATCGCTTTGCATTCAAGATGGACTCGGTGGAAGAGGCAGACCCTGCAACACGATTTGTGACTGGAGCGTGAGGGGTGAATTCCCTTTGACAAGGACACCCTTCGCAAAGGGATCTCGGGCATGTGGGAATGAATTTTAATAGGGAACCCGGAACAGTGGTTGGTGGACAGAAACCTCCGCCTCGCTGGTTGCCTAAGATCCCCAATTAGACCTTCCATACCAGCCCCATGTTGACCACACATGGGAATGCCCTCTGTCAAGAGGGCTATAACGCAAATGCCCAAAAGAAACCCCTATGGCGGGTGATCATGTCTGCGGGGGAGCCTGGGAATAAAAAGTATTGAGCGCTTCTTCCACAAAAGGGTTGGAAACACAACCGATCAACGCGCACCAAACCGCTGGTCAGGCCACCTGTTCAAGTGCTTCAGCTAAGTCTTTGCAGTGTGAAATCGAAAATGTCCCAACATGCCCAAGGACCCTCAAAAATTGCAGCTACTCATGGAAGCCCACCAATAAAATGATCAGCCGCACCCAGGCGCAATGCAGTGACCCCTGTCCAAGAATCCGAAATCTCGGGGGAACCAGTGCATTGTATATCTTTGCCACAAGGCACGCAGAGAAAATGGAGAAGCGCCCTTTTTTTAGAGGTGCCTTGTGCACTTCGGAGGAAATCGAAAGAGAAACATCGGAAAGGATCCTGGCCTAGTGTGGCAACCAGGAACCCCGCGCCGCAGACATGGTCGAATAGAAAAGCAGCAAGTACTCATGTGGCTGTGGGTCAAGAATAGGTACCCAAAAAAAGGAACCCTGGTCCCTGCTAAATGGAAACATGGACTAAAACCTGCGGTTTCCTGGGGGTTTAACTTTGACCCATACTCATGTAGCCCTGCGTAGAGGCTTGAAGAAGGCGACTGCTGGTAGTTGCAGCACCCGGCGCTCTTGGGCCATGACATGCCCATCCATTTCAGTCGGGGCCCAACAAAAAAGCGATTTTCCTCGCCTGTGTGCTGGTCGAACCGTTTGCCCCGCGCAAAAAAGAAGAGAACAATTGCATCATGTTGTTAATTGGCGGAACCCCGTCACTTCCAGCAGGGGGTGAAAGAACCCAAAAGGTTGAAAAGCTCTGGGAGGCTCAAAGGTTCCAAAGCGTTTCCAAGGATCCAGAAGCTGAAAAGGATCCAGGAGCAAGCTTACAGTACAGGTTCCAAAAGACTTGCGGATTCCAAATGTGTGAACAAGGTTCTGCAGGGACACAGCAAACCCAAAGCAACCACACAGCACCTTGGTTGGCCTAGCTAGGGCACCCTTTATTGGAGTCACAAAATCGTGGACCTTCTTTGGGTTGGCATTTAAAGGGAAACCAAAAAGGAGAACAACCGCTTGTTAAGAGAGCCGTCTTGGTTCTTCTGGCCAAAAAGACACACCCAACTTGCCCCGAAGCAAGTCGCGCCGGCCTTGCGGTCCCAGCGCTCAGCTCCTGGACGACGGGACTGCCTTCCTTCCAAAAAACTCAAAAGGAGGCCTATCCTGG